GGCCTGTAGCTTGTGAAAAAATAATGGTAGGCACAAGCCTTCTTTGAAGGAGTAGGTTGTATAATACTGTAGTTATTAATGTTTATTGAGGCAATAAAATCCCTGATTACTGCTAGGCACAATGTTATGAACATGTTCAAAGTTAAAGGTAGATAAGGTACTTGAACTTATTTGGTTGAGGGGAGACTGGGAGCTGTCCATCTCGGCGATGAGTTAAAGGCGTGAGGGCTGAAATTTGAGTGATTATATTCTGAGACCAGAATAAAATACGTGGAACTTCTCAATAAAGAGTTATCAGCATTAGACCAAATAGTTTAATATATAAAAAGAAGGCAGCACCTCGAGAAAGCACTTGAAGCTGTAATTGCTTGCATGCTTGTATGTTGAAATTTCAGTTGCTGTAGTCATATGTCAGTCCTCGCAGTGCTCCTCCTGAGTCTTCAGCATTGTTTCTTGGGAGAACTTAAGTGTGCAAGGAGACCTTATTGGCGAAAACAAAACTTGATGATTGTTCTTTGATAAATTCAGGAGAGTTCTTGAGTTGGCTATGCCCGTTGTGCTGCTTCTGGGTGACAGGCCATTAAGTGATGGATGTCACATTTTGCGGTATATTGTCAGAGTTGGTCCTGGTGTCTTTAAGGTGATATTCTGCACAATGGAGTTTTGACTTGTTGCATTCATTTGAGTAAAAAGTAGTAGAAGTACCCGAGAGAGGAAGAATAAACTGCATGAATCATTATGAGCCGCTACCCTGGTAATGCCTGCGACACTTAAAAAATCTGTGGGATTTAGGTTCATATTTAAACAACAGTGCACACTTCAGTAGTTAAAAGGTATGGAAAGTTAAGGTCTGCTGGACTGGAAGAACATAGCAAAATTTATGAGGTTGCTTGTTGAAATAAGTGCCTTATCAATTTATACTTGTTCAGTGGGTAGCTTAATATATTGGGGTTTGGTTTAATATTCTTTGTAGCAGGCTCCAAGTTGTCTTTCCTAAGTGAAATAGTACGTGTTGTCTCAGGAGTTGATCTGTTCAGACCCCTTGCAGGACAAACTTGGTTCAGGTTGTTCAGGGCCTTTTCCAGTCCTCTTTCTGGTATTCAAGTTGTTGGGGCCTTTAGCTATTGTGATATCCTACTAACCTGTTACTGCAAATCGTTTTTTCCATTTTGTTGTTTCATGTAACTAAACTGTTTCTTTGGGCAGAAAAATCTTTCTAACTATGGAAAACAATGCTGAGGAAAACAAAATTTTTGTGTTCTTTGTATGCTGCTTGATGTTTATGTCACTCACCCCTTAATTGTAGCAATCAGATTACCAATCTCCCATTTCTTCTCCGTGTCTCATCCGTACATCTCACATTCCAGCATGCATGCTACTTGCCTTTGCAAGCAAACAGAAGGCACGAAGCCTGGGTTTTCAGATATTTTGCTCAGTGGGTGGGAAAGGACCTCCCTGCTTGTACAGTCATAGGCTTTGCTCCAGAAATAGTATGTTACATTCCTCTAGTGGAGTTACTTCTTTTGCTTGGATCTTACTGGGGTTTAAATCTTTGACTTTTCCCACTCTCTGGTTAATGTGTATCATCTTGGAGTTCCATTATTGAAAGAGCTGTTGCTCTTTATTGAACTATGCGTGCAGAAAGGTGTCCAAATATTTGTGAAAAACTTCGAAATCCAGAAATTGGAAAATCAAATGAGTTAGGCATCTAAGAAGGAGGAGGTGAAAAAAACCTTTATACTTCAGGTACTTGAAAAGAATGTGCCATTTGTGCTTCTGAATTTTGTAATATTCTCTAGTTTTTGCAACTTGACCTATTATCTGTGCATTATCTATCAGAACTGCGCGGTCAACACTCCTTGAGAACCAGAGAAGTAGGGTGTTTAATAAAGTATGTTACCCCTTTATTATACAGTCTTACTGTTTGTCTGTAATGCTGCTGTGGAGAATCCAGTTAAGGAGATTTAGAAATCATAGAGGAAAGCACTCAAAATGTCATTAAATGCTTGAGATAAATTACTGTTTAATGAGATCTCCTTTAGGTTATGCAGAAAACTGGAGAAAATACTGCATTTTGTCTCACTCTATTTCTAGGCTGTCCACAAAATAGTCCTTGATGGCAGTAACTAATGGTGTCTCTTGAGGATTCTTGTATATGTAAATTAGCTGTTTGTGCTCTTGAGAAGTTCCTCTCCAGGAAGCAGAATAGAGAACACTGCAGACTTGTAGGCCTGTGGTAGAATTCAAACCAATTCCCAATAGCTTCTTGGAAAATTTTCCACAGTGAAGAATGGCAGAGGATTTCTTTGTACTTTAACATCTGTATTTTACTTAAATCTGTGTTCTAATAAGAAATGAGCACATCTGTCAGTGTGTAAAGATAGCACTTGTGTGTTGTGTGCAGAGACTATTTCACAGGCAAGTTTGCACATGGGAGAATTTTGTTTCTGTATTTTTTCCTGTCAGGGAAATAAAGGAGAGGGTTGGTATTAACTAGAATGGACCATTATTAGGTGATGAAAACGGGACATCCACAGGATATTAGTGTACTCATCTTCATGATGTGGAGATAAATAGTTGCTGCTCGTGAAGTTTTTTAAGTGTACAGAGCCTACCCAGTGTGCCATTGTATGAAGAGAACATGAATGAGGTGAATGCCATTTCACGGGTGTAACTGCCAAGAGATGAAGGAATTTACTTTGAATTGTATTAATTGCTTAGCAAAGAAATCTCAGTGTTGCTCAATGGCCATTACTAATGCCTTCTTTGTAGATAACTTAGGAAAATGTCCTTCAAACCAAACTCAGTTCTCTTGATCCTCTTTAGTAGCTCAGACTTTTTCCAGATAATGTACATGTAGGAAAAGGCAGTTCATTTGTAGTGTCTGATTTCAGTAGCATTCATTAAATTAGTTGAAACCATAGGTGGACTTCCTCATCTCCTGTTGAAATGTCCAAAGTTGCTCAATGTGTTTGTCCATATATATCCTACAAACGATGTCACTTGCCTACCTCTGTGTGTGGGTTTTTTGTTTTTTTTAAGACTGATTTTTGTATTAGTTTCCCTTGCATTGAAGGATAATGGAAAGTATTCTGGGATGAAATGATAGTAGTCCTTGTCATCCAGAGTTTATATGTTGCTGCCATATTCTTACCTTTGCCCTTCAGTGGTAGACCACTGAATTTGCACTTTATTGTACCTTAGTTTCCCTTGAAACAGGTTTTGGTATTTCAATATGATGATTGATTTGTAAACTTCTTCCCAGACAGAGTCATTTTGAGGGGGATGTGAATGTTGAAATGTTTTCTTCTAGCTTACAATTTATACATTGTTTTAAAGTTTTCTACTGCCCCCTTAATTAATATGATAAATCAAATTTAAATACTTCCTCTTACTGTTTCCACTGTGTTGTATTTTTTTTCTTGGAGCACTTACAAATGCATCCTGTATAATTAATTTTCATGTATTTGAATTCAGACTGCATTGTGAAATTCAAACAATCCTATGTTTGGAACCTTATCTGATATTAGCTTTCCTGTGTAAAGTCCTACTACTCTGTTGTGGTTTACCACTGCCAGATGCTCTTTCTGTGGGGGGTGTGTGTGTGTTGCACATTGTTCAGCCCTTGTCCTTGGGATGCCACATTTAACAGTTCCTGTTTCTGAAGCAGCAAATTTACCAGGTGTCAGATCTCCAGCTTATGATTCCTGAGGCTATGTCCCATCAGAAAATTCGTGCTATTTGTGCCTTCCAGCAAAGCTGGAATTCAAAACTGTCTCATGTTTTGACTTCCCCAAGAATAAAAGTTTCCAAATGTACAAGTGGAAAATGATGGCATTATTCTCTGTTCATGTAAAGTATAGATGGATTTTCAGCATCTGCTTGAAGTAATCAATGGGAAAGTGTGTTTTTGAAGCCAGCAGATCACTAAACCTTAACTTGCTTGATTATTTTGTTCAGTTTAGTTCTTCTTCTGGTTCCAAAATAGTTTGAAATCTTGCACAAAGTAATTATTATCAGTTAATTACTGCTAAATGTGGGGAAAAATTAATAGGCTGTAATTTTTTCCATCTGTTTAGCCATCTATAATATTATTTCCTTAGATTCACCTTCAGGTAGGTATTGCTTCCAAAATGCTTCTCCCATTTCATTTGTAACTAGCAAGAAGGCTTTCTTACTAATTGCTTTTCAAAGGCAGTAATCTTAAAAAGTGGTCAAATGTAGTATATCAGGGAAAGTATATGTGAAATTGAGTCTCACTTTGATATAGCTGGATATTTTCACCTGGCATACAGTGGGAAGCCTATGATAGTCAACTTTCTCAGGTCACAGAGATCTCTCTCTCCATGAAGAATAGCAGGAGGAATTTATGTTCTCCCATTTTCTCAAAGCTTTATGAGAAGAAACTGGCGTTTTGTTTATTTACTTACTTTGATTTTGTAGAGTGAAAAATGAAAGAAGTGATGGTTCAAATTTTTTTTTCTTTCATTTATTGGATTAGTCCTTGGCATGCTTTCTGCTTTTGCTGCCTTGGCAAAATGGTTTTGTTCTTTAAAATAATGATTTAAGTACTGTTCATTTTTAAATAGTTGCATGAATAGCTGCAAAGTACTAATTCTGGTTTGGTTTTCACAGAGGAGATAACAAAGAGATGTGCAAAGTTCTTTTCAGGAGCATCTCCTACATTTGGAATGCATTTTTAAATTAACTTACTTAACCAATAGTAGAACTTGCTGATGTTATCAGGAGATGCACAGTGTGATGTTTTTCTATGACTCAATTAATAAAAGCTTTACCTTTAATGTGTAAAATGTTCGGAGATGGAGAAATGTACGAGATCCCTCCTTAGAAGTCTTGCTAAAAATGTACCATACACATGAAATCTTTACTTGTTATTCAATGAATCAAGCCTTTTTGTATGTTACAAGTTCTATTTAATTCTTCCTTCAGATAGCACGTTTTGTGAAATGCTTTTTCTTTTTTTTCTTATTTGTCTGTAGGTTCCTTCAGAGAAATCAGAATCCTTTGCATCCATGTTGAGACGCTCTCCTTTAATTCAGATGGGGCCTGCCAAAGATAAAATTGCCATTGGTCAAATATTCCATATTGTAGAAGATGATCTTTATATAGATTTTGGTGGCAAGTTTCACTGTGTGTGCAAAAGACCAGAAGTTGATGGAAAGTAAGTAATAAAGTTACGGTAGGTGATTAACGGTGAAATGCTTAGCCAAAGGGACTTGACCATTCTGGACTGAGCTTAGATAGATTGTATGAATCTTGTGGTTTAAACTGTGGAAGATAACATATTGTGCAGAATGAAAGTACGATCACAAACAGATCTGTGTAGCTCAGACATCATTGTCTGGAATGGAGGTTCCTTTGCACACTTGCTTTATTGTTATCTACATTATTCCAACTAATGATGGGCAAAGGAAGTTACTGGGTGTTTTGTCACTGAAGAAAAGAGGAATAATTATCATCAGAGTTGTTAAAACAAGCACTGTTTATTGAAATCCTTGTGAGTTTTGTGGATGTGGAACTTTAATTCCATGTAAGTTGCTTCTTAGGCAGGAACTATCTATGCTAAATATGTAAACATGAGGTAACCTATTGGGGAGTTTACATGTTATTTGTGATAATATGGTTCATAGCAGATGATCAGTGCTAATGTGGTCAAATATTCCAAATTGTAGCAGGTGACTTTATATAGATTTTGGCATAAAGTTTCACTGTGTCCTGAGGTAGAACAACTGTGGTGGAACTAGAACAGCTGCACTTAAGAATACAGTAGTTAGAGAGCTAAAAGATAAGGAAGCAATGAATTCTAGTGGAAATAGTATTTATAAACTTTCTTGACTGTCTTTAGCATGTTATGATTATATATTATTCAAAGATCTCTTGTCTATTTAATTTGTCTCCAGGTTGCTTTAGCACCTAGTTTTTAATACGTAGGCAAAATACCATATTTTTGCATTCATAGCATCAGAATATTTTAGTCCATCTCTTTTCCCTCTTTTTTCCCTGAGAGAGGAGGAGCATCTTTATTGATCTGCAACATCACTGGTTCTAAACATTAAATATGATTCCTGTTATAATCAGTTCTGAAATAGCTGATTTAACAAAAAGAGATTTAACAAAAATAATCGCACATTTGTGTGCAAAGCTGTGATAGTATTTTATCAGAGCATTTTTGTACTCAACTTCCTTTTTTTGACAGGTCTATGACTTTCAAAGCAAGTGTGATTGATATCCCAGGATGAACTGAGTCGTTTGTGCCTGTCAAATTTGACAGCAGATGAAGATTTTCTTAGTCTTTTGCTGCTGCTGTACTGATGAAGCCCTTTTTGCTCTTTGCATCTCTTGTTAATGCTAAATTGAGATGAGCTTTGCCTTTCTCAAGGCCATTCTTGCATGCCTGAGGAGTTCTTCTATATTAATCTCAATCTATGACCATTCATTTTGGTTTTGTGGTAGAGTTCAAACTGAAGCTCCCTATTCAGCTGCAGGAGCCTTCTGCCAGGCCTGCTCAACTTCTGCACCGAAGGACCCTTCTAGAGCATTGAGGAGTTTGTCCTTATAGATCAGTGACCTCTATTAGGCACTTTATCACGTCAGGACAGCTCCTTCTCTTCCCTGAATAATCCAAAGTCTACTGTTCTGAAGCCCACATCTCTCTTCTGCCACTTGCCTTTCTCACTTTCCCTCGGTGTTTAAGCTCTCATTGTTGGTCACTGCAGCTGAGGCTGACATCAGCTATGATGTGCCCAAGCAGTTCTTACCTGCCCGTGTGTGAACGTGTCCAGCAGAAGACCTGCCCTGCTTGGGCTGTCTGGCACTGCTGGTAGGAAAATGTCACCAGGGCACTCGCTCTGGTTGCTCACTCTCCTCTGTGTTTGCTTTTGCTTGAGCAGACATAAGGACATTTGAAGTCCCCCGTGAGAATCAAGGCCTGCAATCGTGAGGTGGCTTCTGATTGTTTGAATGAGGCTTCATCTGCTCCTTAGAGTCTGTTGGTGCACACTTTGGTTCCTTTGGAAGGCAATAGCTGCTTCTGATCACCAGCATAAAGGTCAAACTAGAGTATCTTCTACCAAAGCTTGAAAGTAACTGGGTAGAATTTACAGTGTGTATTTAGATCTGTGCCAGCTTACACTGGTGACTGCAGTAACATTTTTGTTACCCTTATTTCTGTTAATTCACTTGCTGACAAAAGTGACTGTATCATCATATTGTATGTGCATGTAACCAGTAGAACTGTTTAGTGTTCTGCTTGCAAAATGTTTATTGTTAGTGCCAAGGAGAAGAACAGGCATTTTAATTTACAGATAACAGATGATTTTTTGGAGGCCATCAGTTCAGGACGGAAGAACCAGATTTAATCTTCAGACATGGAAATTCATGATACCATTTTTGTGAAGTCAGTCTTGAACATGGCTCTTTAGTACCTGTATTCCGATACTGATTTTCAGTTTTATTGTACTGTCTTTTCAGGTTTTTGGCAACACCTCCAAAATATTAGTTTAACATCTTTAGAGGAAAAAAACCCTCTCTTGCCATTTATGTAAGGAAGTATCTTGTGAGGACATGTGCTTTTGATATCTCCTTGGTCATTTTGCTTTTTTCTCACCAGAAGTCAACTATTTTCATGATACTGTAATAAAATTTTCTTTCTCTTATATGATGTCCTGTGCTCTTCGAAAGTGCTACAGGTTACTTGAAAAGAATCAAAAAGTCTGCAAGAGGTTCTTGTCTGTAAAACTTGTTATCTTAAACTGCTCAGTCTGATTCCTAACAGTTGTGATTTCTTGGAATGTCCATGTGAAAGACCCTGTAGTGCTACCACCATGTGACCATAAAAAAGGATTCCACCCTAAAGACTGTCTTGAGTAAAAACATGACTATGAAAAAAGGTGTCCCTCACTTGGAAAATTTAAAGTAGCTCCATAAATACATTTTTTCCATCAGTTCTACTAAAAGAAATGTCAGCCTTTAAAACAAAAAACAAACAAACAAACCACCACAAACTTTAAGTAAAAGAAACCTTAGAACAGTAATGATGCAAAATTTAAACAGTAAGCATTTGAAGAATCTGCTAGCCATTTTTGTTTGGTTCTCATTGATTGTTTTCCTTCTTTGGGAAAGCTGTTTCATAGAATTGCTATCAGCATTGGTGGTATTGATACTGGAAGAATACATCAGCTTAGAGATGAAGCATGTTGTTGGTAAAATTTCACTGGGGTCAGACAAGGGTGTATTTGATTATAAATTTCAGCAGTGTTTTATTTTGGATTTATTTAATGTGTCAGGAGTATTTATTGCCATTACAAGTTCAAAATCGCATGTAATATATGCTGGACTTATTAAAGATATACCATAATTAGTAAAAACATGTTTCTTGATACAGTTTGACTTAAATGCTGTATTAAATTTGCATTTTATGCCAAGAGCAAAGCAATTCTGTTAAGTATCCAAAGTTTATACAAATGAGAAAGTATCTGTAGGAAAGTAAGGTTCCTTTTCAGCTATGGGAAGAAACTGGTATATTTTTTATTTTCTTTTAACATGCAGAGGAAATGAAGTCCTAAAGAAGAAAGTATCTGTCTTATATCTCCAAATGAGCAACAACTTTATCCATGGCATAAAGGTGCTGTTACAACCTGCTTCTGACATTATCAGATGGAATTCCTAAGAAGCAGAAAATACGGGAAGGAACTGTGCTGACACTGCCTCTTGCATGGTCTGCACCTGTACTCTTAATGACCAATTCCCATCAAAAGCACAATGGCTTTCAGCAATTTTCTAAAATGTAGGATTGCAGGACCAGCTTCCAAAGAGGATTAAACTGCACCTCTCCATGCCAGTGTAATGAAGCTTTATTTTCAAAGACTGCTGTAACCCTCCAGCAACTCCAGTATTATCAGGCTGTAGGATCAGAAAGATACTTCCTTTATGCTTGAGTATGCAGCTGGTGCAGGGATTTCCAGTATATCCTGTGGCAATTTTACTTGACACCTTTTATACAGTGTGTATTTGCCAAACTTAAATAGTAGAGAAGGGAAGAAATCATTTGATGCTGGTTGTGATTTAGAACGTGACAGCTTAATGAGCATCATAAAATATTACCTAATGCTTTTTCTGCAAATTGTATCAAAATATTTACTCTGTTTGAATGACTGCCAAGGTGAATTTTATTTGGGAAACATTTTAAATTCTTCTCTTTGTTCTATTTTTAAAATATTTTGTAGATAAGGACAGAAGGGAATCCAATTTAAAATAATATATCTTTTTAGATTAGGTAATATGAATAAGGCTGGTTGTTTTCTAGCATATTCATTTTATTAAGACAGTCTTAAATTTAAGGTGATGCTGACATAAAAGAACTTGTAAAAAAAGAAATAGAGGTCCATGGAGAGAAATGCTGTTCAGGGGGAAGGATTTCAATAAGACACCATTTGGTTTAGTTCCAGTTTGTGTAGTAAACAAAGTCCCTGTGTGTTACCCTGGAGGGTGAGTTTGGAATTAACTACTCATTTTGATGCCATGTGAATATGTTTCTTCAACACTGAGTGCATCTCAGCCAGACTGAGCTGCCTCACACAAAGCATCTTGCTCTGGGTGTGTGGCAAAGATACCTGCACAAGGGAAGGTGTCGGTGTGGTAAATGCACTCTTTGCTTGCTGAACGCTTGTTTCCCTGACTGTTATGTATGTCATGGTGCAAGATTACTATGGAAAGGTTTAGAGAGATGATGTTGAAGACATAACCTTTCTAACTTTCCTTCAAAATTAAATGGAGACCAGACAACTGTCAGGGTGCTGGACTGATAGAGAGACCCAGCATCCAGCTCCCATCCCCAAGGCCTTTACTCTTTCTTTGCCAGAGGAATCACAGGCATAAAATTAATGTTCAGCCGTGTGTCTGTGACCAACTGGGAGCAAAATCTCTGAGAAGTAGTATGGGCCACTACAGGATATGTATCTGGTGGCAGTGGAGAGACTTAATGATGGTTTCCTTAGAGTATGTATTTCTTCCCTGTCCTGTACTGCTGCTGACTGCAGTAGTGCTGCTCTGGCAGCCTGGCACATCGTACAGCTTTCATGTCAAGCTTTGAATGTTGATGGAACTGTTACTGCTAAAAAAAAGAGGTAATGTGATATATAAAGGAAACATATCTTGCTGCAG